CCTCACGGCCGCGCAATCCTGCCTGGAGCTGAGGGGACACGGCCAGCGCGGCCTTCCCGGCTAGACCTGCCGAGTGTCAGGCTCCGGGCTCCGGCCTGGGCCTAATGGCTCGGCGTGCAGCCTCGGCCCGCCTGTTCGCTGCCGCGCCCTCACCCGTTGACACCTCACCGACCGTACCTTTGAATAGGTAGTCGTACTCGTCGTCCCGGGTCCCCATTGTCCTGGCGCTTCCGGCGGGATCGGCGACTCCGCAGCCCCACCACAAACACCCAGCGGGGGCGGGGCCGGAGCGGCACGGAGCGGCGGCCTGCTGGCCAATCGGTGGCAAGCACCGGAGGTACTGGCACCCGAGACAGCCAATCCGAGGCGGAAGCAGAGCCCCCGGGGGTGGGAGCCTCCTGGGAGCCGCCCCCGTCGTCCTCTGTCTCCTGGAGAAAGGCGGAAGGAATGCGGACCTTTCTGAAATGACGGCCGCCCTAGCCTATCAGAGGCGAGGTCAGGAAGGCGGGGCGGAAGACGGAAGAACTGAAAAGGGTTGGCGGAGCAACCGGGGCAGTGAGAGGCTCTGATTCTGATCGTTCGCGGCCGCCGGAGGAGCCGCCCGGGAAGGGAAACGGGGCTACGTCCAGGTGGAGTTACGCTGCAGGAGGTGTAGACGCCCCGATGATGTCATAGGCCACTGCGCGGGGCCTTGGCACACCCGCATGAGTGACCATTTTTGAGGGCCCTGAGTGGGGTCTTTTCCCGATTGCGGTTTCCATCCCGGACTCATGTCGTTCTTCCTGAAGACACCCACCCACCTCACATGGGTTCTTTTGAGGATCACTAGATCTCCCCCGGCCCCAAACACACGCAGTCAGCCCTCCACTTTGTGTCAGTAAGATTTTGTTTAGCAAATAATTTATAAATCTTCACAGGTTACCAGGCACTCGGCCAACGTAACTCCCTCTGTCTCTTGACACCGTTTTCTCCCAAAAGATGTATTACTGTTGTTAGATGCCGTGGTGTCAGCCCATCGTGGCCGTATTTAGATGACAGTAAAAGTGTCCTGGGAGGGTTTCCTAAGATTAGCCTGCAAGATCCGTAGGTTAAGCGTTGGGCTAAGAATAAGGTGACCAGAGGTCTCGCCTTGGGCGGGACAGTCCCGATTTTTGGCGTTTTAAAAAAGTCCCGATTTTTTGAAAGAATGCACGACAAGCTAGGGAACGGTCTATTTGGTCCATATAGACCAAATTTTTAATCAAGAAACATCCCCACCCCCGGTCAACGGTGCCCCGCTTTAAATCTGGTCACCTTAGCTAAGAATCACAAGATGGGCTGCTTCCCAGGAGAAGGTGCTGCTTGCTCCCATCAAGATTTTCCAGTCTCAGAAACCCCAAGGACCGGAGTCTAACTCTGTCCCATACAGTCCCTAGAAGTCGAAATCGACTCTGCGAGTGGATTTTGGTTTTGTATTGTTTTTGATCTTTAGAAAGAAGCCTTAGTGGCCCTGTAGTTAAGCCCTCGGCTGCTAGTAACGGAAATATCAGCAATTAGAATCCACCAGCCACTTGGTGGAACAGAAAGATGTCTAGCTGCTTCTGTAAAACCCCACAGGGCAG